TGTTTGTGATCAACCTTTGATGTAAATACTCTCTTTGGACGCACCAGAAAGTTAAAGATCTATTCGATGATATAGACTGATTACCTAAAGTTTGTAGGTATTCTTCGTGTTATGCCTTCATCAAATCATGATAGTGACCTTTGTAGTGCTGTCCATAATAGAATATAAATACCGCCGAATGAACTCATATCGTGGCAATTGCAAAAAAATATAAGTTTTTCAAAAATATAAGTGTGCACTGATGCAGTGTCTTCGTTTAAAACATTGAAGAATGTGGACGTTTAGCAGCAAAGAGGAAACGTTCATGATTTGAGGTAGTAGTAGAATCTATATCTATGGATTTTATGTCGCAGCCATTACAATAGCATTCTTTATTTCACATCTCTATATTTGCATAAAGATTCCGAGTGACAAAATATGTGTACAATACTGTATGGCACCGAACAATATTCCAGTAGATGTAGCCTTTTTGTGTCAGCATTTAACTTTAAGGTACAACGTCAATATCGCATTTTTACTCCCATTCACAATAACGCCACACGACTCTTTCTCGAATGTTGATTGATCAGTGTAGGTAAAGTCTCGACTAGTGTTACAGGAGAACATGTCCATATTTGATCAATTTCAGTAAAAAAATATTTCCGATGCAAATACATATTTCATTCCTATGGTAGTTCAGGTGTTACAGTTAAGCTGGTGTTTGTGTTTAATAGACATACAGTATGTCGCAATGAAACACATTCAGTCAAAGTGGATAATCAGACATGCTGTTATATGAGCACTGTTCCACAGCTGTAATAGTTCGTAAATCCAAATCCTTCTGTTTTCATGAGTGTCTACTATACGAGTCCGACCATAAGACGATGTTAATGAATCACCACCGGATAGTGATGTTACCCTGTGTTCACGAAACGAAGTGTATCCTGTCTCCCAATTTGAACCTGTCACAAACACATTTGGCATACCTTACTAACCATCTTGAGACAGTTTTGGAAATGATTCTTTAAAAGTCGGTTTTGAAACTTTTCGTGCATATAATAACAACTTGGGGACTTTAGAATAACTCTGGTACTCTAGCTCCTTAGTTTTCAAACTTCATTTAATTATAGTTTTTTTTAAACGAAATACAGTTGACAGATTCTGATATAATTTGTAGATAGATGTATGTCATATTAAAATTGGCAGAGTAAATTCATAACTGATATTGTTAGTGGCTCAGTCACTCAAAGGAGGTTAAAATATTGTAAATTTATTGTCCTCCCGAAACATTCAAAGTATATACTGAGTCAAAAAAGAAACTTCACAAAATGTAATTTGAAAAATAATGAATAATGTTTCTCTGATGATACATCTATGTATCCGAAATGGGATCCCTATCTTTCGACTCTAGAAAAACGTTAGCAAAACCCACTCAAACCCATCCATTCCTCGTGCAAATGACGTTAGTGCCAAATCAGGTTTTGCACGTGCAGTCGATCACGTGATCTTCGCATCGAAGTTTTCTTCATATGCACGTGTTTGCATTGGCCTCAAGAATTGAAAAACACTTTTAAACCACAGTTCTAACGGTATTTGAAATGCCACGATTGTCAAATGTGCAACGTGAACGTGCCGTTGGCATGTTGCAAGCGGGAAGATCAGTTATTGACGTCGCAAGAGCAATGGGATGCAGCCGTCGTACTGTGTATGACTTGCGAGGTCGTCTACAACAAACTGGCACCACTTCTGATCGCCCAAGGTCGGGTCGTCCACGTGTGACGTCACGAGCAGAAGACCGTCAAATCGTCCTACGTCACCTACGTGACAGATTTCTGCCGGCTACACGAACCAGGGCTGAGATGTTTAGAGGTCGACTGTCCTCAAAGACCATTCGAAATCGGTTGCGGGCTGCCAATCTCCATTCTCGACGTCCATATTGTGACTTGACATTCTGTATACCCATGTTTTGGAACGGCGGTGTAGCCTAATGGAATTGATTATGGCACTGTCAGTGTATCGAGTACATCACACAGATCTCAGCAATGAAATAATAACAATTTAACCATCTTACCATCTTCTTTTATAGTGCCCTGAAGAAAGAATGTGAAGTTTCTTTTTTGACTCAGTATATTTGCTCTTACCACAATTTTAATCATAGTATATGTGTGATTTTAATTGCTGTCTATATTTGTCTCCAAGCATCAGTGGCTGAAGGGATGGTGTAAATCCAGCTAGGGTCCATGCAGGTAGCAAAGGCGCTGTAAGTCTCCATAGTCCCTAGAAAAGTGAGCTACCTTGAGTTGCTGGTGATCTTCACCCAATTTTTTAAATTTTGCATTGTCCATAATATTATTGTTTTCATTTTAGTTACATTCTAGTTTAATTCTATATCTGTGACAATCTAGTTTTTTACTGCCCTTCGTTGACAGGTTTTTATACTCCAGTTGCGCTTTTAATGAATCTGTAATTGTTTTGACAAGTATTGAAATATTGCCGATGTGACTATAAATCTTAACTCACTCACTCATTCAGTAGTGTTCACGCACATAGACAGCAAGAAATAGTTGTTTTGTCACAGCAAAATAAAATCAACTCCCAGAAAGGCTGGGACGGCTTGACAGATCACTGACACGTACACACCTTGTCTTAGCCTAGATTGACCTTGATCACGGCTGAGGGTACGTGCATAATTCTACTTAATTTGCGAAATCGACCCACAGAGGGTTAGCAATGTGTCACGACGTATAACCACAGTGAAACAGACTGATAACTAAACACGAGCCACACAGCCATAACATAAATTTGAGACAAGGTCTAACACACGAAGGTGCACTGAGTGAACCAGTTTTCGAACACTAATAACCTTTCACGTCCAATTTGATCAAGTCAATAATCGACTCCGGAATAGTCAAAGTGACTGACTTCATGAACATCGACCTAGATGTTCTAATCGACCTGGATAGAACGATATGCATCAAGCCCGACCATCACATTTTGTTAATTGCCTCAAAACTAAACACAGTCTTTCGATAAGCATGCCTTTCTGATCAGTTCTAACCTAGGTCAGTAAAACAGGAACTAGTAATTGTAGTAGTAGTAGTACATGTAGTAGCATCTTGAGACAGGTTTTGAAATGATTTTAACTACTAGATATTAAGCTGTACTAGGTATTTAGAAGTAATTTTATAGCAGTGGCAACATGCTTCTTGTGAAAAAATGGTTAATCGCTGATAGTTTCAGCCACATTAATAACAACAGTCGTAGCAGAAATATCCATACATTCATGAAACAATAATACATCATCAGGCGAAATGTTATCATACCATTAATGCCACATGTAAAGACAACATTTTCACTGAGGAAGAAATCTGTCAACAGCCTCCAAAACTATTAGCAAAATGCCAAATTATCTTTTGTATCGAAGTCCCAACCTCAGCACAAAGTGATATGTATTACTGAATCCACAAAATGTAAACCAAATCTCATTCCCAAAGATCAACCATAATCCTCAGTACAATCAGGGAAGGTAGGGACACATTGCAAGACTTGCGGACGGATTTGACAAGCTGCTGCTTGAACATTGTTACGGTTTAGACATTACTGAGATAAAAGTCTTGTGATTCCCTTTAAACGAGCAAATTATGATACAGACAAGTCTATACTATTCAATTATATACTGAATAAACAATAAACAACGTTATGATGAATGACAGACTTGAGTACAGTTTTTCAATACAATACAATTGAGTCACAAATCTAAAAATATCAACTCACCAAGGTTTTGATATTCCCATTATAAAGAGATGTACTGAGTGTAGGATGGTGAAAGCTTTGGGAAGTTCAATACAGACGAGTCCAGATAAACGGTGGGTCTTGAAACGCTGATGTTCGCAGACAGATGAGCGTAAATCCAAAGTAGTAGTAGTCCCCCTTACATCTCATCGTTTCTTTCTTCTTTTTTTTTACTTTTATGCCGCACTCAACAATATTCCAGCTATATGGCGGCGGTCTGTAAATAATCGAGGTCTGGACCAGACAATCCAGTGATCAACAACATGAGCATCGATCTGCGGAATTGGGATACGATGACATGTGTCAACCAAGTCAGCCTGACCACCCGATGCCTTTAGTTGTCTTTTACGACAAGCATGGGTTATTGAAGATCAATTCTAGCCCGGATCTTCACGGGTCCTTACATCTCAACAACAATCCCTTATATACCTATTATACAGTTTTTGAGAATTCCACCAGAAGCCACGTCTCACTACGACAATTTAGAGCACACTACGACCATGTAGAAATTATACTGGAATTCCACAGTCTTATACCGGAAACAAATCAAACAAGAAGACAAAGTCATCAATATCCTCCGCAACGGCAAAATACTCTTTATGAATATGTTTACTAATTATGATTATGTCAATGTTTTTGAGTTTATTACAGCAAAGTGGAAGGAGAGCATTGAAAGGTTTTAAGATCTGCTCCAGAAAAGAGGACTGCACTCAAATATAAATTCAACTACCCTCACAGCAACGGAAAATGCAACAAGATGACATCCTCGTAGTCACAGCCTAAGTCACGCGTACGTTTCCATGGAAACCACAAAAAATAAAATTCATATCTGGGTCTAAACCCCACAAGGCACATCTAGGGATGGTGCTTGATATGTGTACCAAGTCTGATGAAGCTAGCATGTATAGTTTATGAGATCTGCTCCGGACAAGATGACATCCTCATAGTCACAGCCTAAGTCATGTTTCCATGGAAACAGCCCAAAATAAAATTCATATCTGGGTCTAAGACCCAAAAGGCACATCTAGGGATCATGCTTGACATGTGTACCAAGTTTAACAAGAAGGCAAAGTCATCAATATCAGCCGCAATAGCAAAATAGTTATGATCATCTCAAATATATTAGCGTGTATGTAGCAAAGTGGAAGGAGAGGGAGCACTACCACCAAATTCAGTTGAAGCCAAAAATGTGGCCATGGAAACACAAAAAACATTTTATTCAGAAATCCAAAACTACCAAAGGGCACCAGTTCACCACTAGACCTACCTATATGATTATGTCAAACGTTTTGGTGTGCATATAGCAAAGTGGAAGGAGAGTACTAAAAGGTTTCAAAGTTCTGCTCCAGAAAGGACCACTACCACCAAATTCAGTTGAGGCCAAAATTGTTACCATGGAAACACAAAAAAACACATTTTGTTCAGAAATCCAAAACTACCAAAGGCACCAGTCCACCACTAGACCTACCTATGCATGAAACTTGGTGATGAAACAGTCAACAGATTTTAAGCTCTGCTCCGGAAAAGAGCACTACCACCAATTTCAGTCAAAGTGAAACTTGTTGCAATGGAAACGCCAAAAATATTTTATTCAGAAATCCAAGACTACCAAAGGCACCAGTTCACCACTAGACCTACCTATGCATGAGATTTGGTGATGAAACAGTCAACAGATTTTAAGCTCTGCTCCGGAAAAGAGCACTACCACCAATTTCAGTCAAAGTGAAACTTGTTGCCATGGAAACGCCAAAAATATTTTATTCAGAAATCCAAGACTACCAAAAGCACCAGTAGACCACCAGATCTATCTATGTGCCAAGTTTGATGAAGAAACATTGAACAGTTTTAGAGTTCTGCTCCGGAAAAGAGTACTACCACCAATTTCAGTCTAAGTCAACTTGTTACCATTGAAACGCAAAACATATTAATTCAGAAATCCAAAACTATCAAAAGTAACCAGTAGACCACCAGATCTATCTATGTGCCAAGTTTGGTGAAGAAACATTGAACGGTTTTAGAGTTCTGCTCCGGAAAAGAGTACTACCACCATTTTCAGTCCAACTTGTTGCCATGGAAACGCCAAAAATATTTTATTCAGAAATCCAAGACTTCCAAACGGCACCAGTAGACCACCAGATCTATCTATGTGCCAAGTTTGGTGAAGAAATATTGCATGGTTTTAGAGTTCTGCTCCGCAATATAGCACTACCACCAATTTCAGTCTAAGTCAAACTTGTTACCATGGAAACGCAAAAAAATCATTTATTCAGAAACCCAAAACTACCGAAAGGCACCAGTAGACCACCAGATCTATCTATGTGCCAAGTTTGGTGAAGAAACATTGAACGGTTTTAAAGTTATGCTCCGGAAAAGACAAATGTGCACGGACGCACACACGGACGGACGGACGGAGTCCATTTTAATAACCCCCCCCAAAAAAAAAAAAACGCGTTGCGGGGGATAACAAAGGGTAGGTAACTCCCAAGCCCACTCACATCAGGTGAAATATGTACACAACCCAAGCTGAAGATGCAGAGTTCAAATCAACACTCAGTGCTTTAAACTTTTGTGACATTTTAAGCAACAAAAACACATCATTATAACAACATAACTTACCACACTCAAACCCTTTCGTATGAGGAAGGAAATGATTTTTTCGCGTCTTAAAACACATCCATACCAAATGCCAATGATAGCTCTGTTCAGCCCTTGGCAACAGGACTTCAAGTTCAAAATGATCGGCATTGTCCTGCAGTGTTATTTCTTTACCCATACACGTACTTCTGTCGTCTTTCGAGGGAGTGTTTTACATCACAGGGGCGTGTCACGCTTAGAAACAACATTAGAAAGACATATAGCTATATAGACCTTACCCTAGTACTATATAAAAGGAAAGGGGTGTAACGACGGAACCACCCCCTCCTCAATCTAAGTTAGATTTCACCACGTAAACTATTTTTAAGGCCCCGTTGAGGCCTACGGATCAAAAGCGAGATGGTTTCCCTACAAAATGAGCTATGAATTGTCACAATCGGATCATTATTTCAAAAGTTATTCGCCACGACTCACCGAAAACAGCACGGGTCTAAAAACTTATTGCAACATCTACAAATCATTTCCTCGACAGTAAGCAGACATTTGTCTCCAAAACCATCGGCAATCATACTCCCTTGACATTTAAGTGACCTGAGCAGTAAATTTGTAAGAATAATTTTAGGGGTTAAATATTTATAAATATAATTTCCTAAAATGAATCAATATCGAATGCATTTTTACAACCTCTAAAACTATTCTTAACAATTTACTGTTCCGTACATCATCCAAAATAAATTAATGCAAGGTTAATATTTCGCGCCCATTAGCAAACAGTCACAATCTTACAGTATATCATATTTTCCACCATCGGATGGCCCAATTTCGTTTCTGCGGATCTGCTCAGATCACTTGAATGTCAAGGCCATCTATGGCCGACAAGTGAGTATGATTGCCGATGGTTTTTGAGAAAATGTCTGCTTACTGTCGAGGAAATGATTTGTAGATGTTGCAATAAATTTTTAGACCCGTGGAATGGCGCTGCCGATTGAATCTAGCCCTACATGGGTGCTGTCAACGTGGCTGGAATTAATAAACGAATTTTAAAGGTGAGTTTTCGCTGTCTTGGGTGATCAATGATTTTGGCTTGGAATTACGGAGGTTGCTGTTTTCGGTGAGTCGTGGCGAATAACTTTTGAAATAATGATCCGATTGTGACAATTTATAGCTCATTTTGTAGGGAAACCATCTCGCTTTTGATCCGTAGGCCTCGACGGTGCCTTAAAAATAGTTTACGTGGTGAAATCTAACTTAGATTGAGGAGGGGGTGGTTCCGTCGTTACATCCCTTTCCTTTTATATAGTACTAGGGTAGGGTCTATATACCTATTTGTCTTTCTAATGTTGTTTCTAAGCGTGACACGCCCCTGTGTTTTACATTCGAGTCCTTCCCTAATATGTAAAATTATTGTCCCCCTGAGAGGGTACGTAAGTCCAAAAACATTCAAACAGAGTCAATTTAAATCTATCCAACCTTTTTAATCATAGACTATGTGTGGCTATGTGTTTAATGTATGGCTAAATGTGTGTAAACTGCTAACGACTGAAGAGATGGTGTAAATCCAGCTAGGGTCCATGCAGGAAGCAAATGTACTGAAAGTCCCCATGGTCCCTAGTATGGTGATCTACCATCAGTTGTTAGCGGTCTATAGCCTGCTTTTACATTGTCTTGTCATTTCTAGCTAACATGTTTTAGATTTTATCACTAGTTTTAAATGGATTTCTGTGATATACCAGTAGTTTTACTGTTCTTTGTCAACAGGTTATAATTTCTAATTTTATTGATATATGATGTTCTCGTCACGATATGGCTGAAACATCCCCGATGTGATAATAAATATTAACTCACTCACTCCTTCCCTAATACACATGCACCTATTTCTATCTCTTAAAACCTCTTTGTAATATTCTATATTTTCTAATCATTACAACATACATGTACATCTTATGGATACAAAAATACCATGTCCCGTGTCGTCTTTCGTGGGTGAGTTTTACATCCGACCCTTCCATTTACGCATATACCCATTTCTATCTCTTAAAACCTCTCTTAAATATTCTACAATTTTCGAATCATAGCAATATACATTTATATAAAATATACCAAAATACCATGTTCCGTGCTAATGTACGGTGTAGTTGTAGTGAACTGATCCAGTAAGACACGCACCGGTGTGGGTAGAACCCAAACATAAGATCTAATGACAATACATGTACACATTTGTTCCTGAATATGGCCATTATCTGTGATCAAAGAATTGGAGATCAAAGAAATCTCATAACACAGTTTACATGAGTTCAGACAATTAGCGGTATGCATAAACATGAAATAGCAAATGTGAGCTTTTATCATGAAAGTTTGGTGTGATATAAATAATTCGAGAATGCATTACATTTGAAGAGCTCCCAGGCAGCAATGATGAGCGTATGGCTTGTGTTCCTTCTGCTACTTCAACAAGGTATGTGAACTTTCAGTTACATCTTCTTCCCAGAGTGGCAGTCCTACAGGTGTAGAACTCAACAAATAATGATTTGAACTTCATCCGTCATTATTCCAACGCAAGGTATAAAGATTTCAATTTTAAAACATTGAAGGATCTTTTTTATAAAGTTAATTACCATTTTATCATTGAATAGCTAAAAGAGATTGAATTAATTGATAAATTTTGATTCATATGTTTTGTAAATAGACAGTTACATGCTAGTTTTAATTCTCTATCTGTGATAATCTAGTTATCTTACTGTCCTATGTTAATTCGTTGGCAGGTTTTTACAATTGAATTATGTCTTATTTATGACTTTTAAGTCACGATATTGCCAATGTGACTATACATTTTAACTCACTCACTCATTCACACATCTGTCACTAGTGATACATAAAACACACACACAGGGTTATATATGTCCGCAGATACAAGTGAACGTTAAATCCGAGATATCCATGGTTATCAATCAATGAAAATAATTTTAGCGATAACATATTTTTAATGTAACGACCTCACGTATTTATAAGCATCAAAATATCACCATAAAGTGCCATTTGGGTCGGGAAATGACCTCCATCTGACAACATATTGATAATGAAACTGATGGAATGTGTATATGTTCGACATCCGAGAAACAACAGAACCTATTGTTTTCCAAAAACTCTCTGACAATCTGACATTATACAAATCAGCGTGGAACGTACTGCAGGATGTCTTAAACGAGTATGGTGTATATGTACTCTTCTATTCTAAGGTAAGAAATTTAATTGTGTTGCTGGTGTAGAACCCAAACTTTCGAGGCAATGACTGGGGGCAAGTTTATAGTTGCCCAACAAGGCCATTAGTTGATATTACGAGTTAAATCATATTTATGTTCGTCCAAACAAAATGACGGGGCTGATTCAAGATGATCAGATCAACTTCTGTTACACAATAAAACGATTCTTACCTCGCAGAGTGATCCATATATTTAGCAAGCTGTTCACACAAAACATATATTAAATCAATCATAAAAAACATGCAGCATATTTGAAAATATATGTTGGTAGTTGAAGTTTGCAAAACAGCAGCTAGGTTCAGAATTTTGATTGGTCTTTGCATAGACTCTTAATGCCAGCCAATATGTATTTAATATATGCCTTCCTAATTTGACAAGGGTGGAATTGACTTATCACGAGTTATTGAAACCATAAACAGTCGGTTACAATGGCAATCCTTAAACAAGTCACCGAGTCTTACTGTCATGAGATCCCGTCTGTCGCCTGTGACGGTTTCTGAACACATTTCCTTACCAGATCTTCAGAGGTTGATGTCTGTATTTTGGTGTCATCCTAAGATCCACTCTGTCAACTACGGAACAAGAGACACGAGCAAATCGGTGACGAATACACTACAGTTGTAATCGAAGTTATAAGATGTCTCGAGTGACCACAGAACTAATTATTTTGACATTTGGTAAACATACGCACACTATCGTCACATAAAAAGACACATTAACATTTATGGGCCGACA